TGGGCCAGCTGCTCTGGGGCTACGAGGATCCGCTGCTCAAGCTGGCCAAGGATGTGGTGCCCAAGGAGCAGAAGTTGCCGTACGAGGAGTTTGGCCTGCTGTACGGCAAAAACGGCACCTCATCGGATCGCGTCACCGTCTTCACGGGCACCGACAATATCAATCATTATGGCATCATTGACAAGTTCAATGGACGCACACATTTGCCGCACTGGACAACGGACGAGTGCAATCGGTTGAGCGGCACCGATGGCTCCATCTTTCCGCCGCACATCACAAAGGATCGGGTGCTGGAGGTATACGATAAGGATCTGTGCCGTTTGCTGCCGCTGGTCTTCGAGCAGGAGGTGATGACCTCCAACGAGGTGCCCGGCTATCGCTTCACACCGCCAGAGTGGGTGTTTGCCGATGTCGATAGCCATCCGGATAACATGTGCTACTGTCCGGCTGGCAAGCCTTCCTGCTCACCGAATGGCCTCTTCAACGTGTCGCTGTGTCAATACGGTAAACGGGTTTAGCTGCCAATGAATGCCTGCTCCTAATCCTTGCTACATTTTATAGACTCGCCCATCATGCTAAGCTTCCCGCATTTCTATTTGGCCGATGATAGTCTGCGGACCCAGGTTGACGGCATTTCCCCGCCGCAGAAGGAGCAGCATCAATTCTACTTTGATGTGCAGCCCGTAAGCATGTCTTTAACAACTTTTCCAGCCAATCCTTACACCCGCTCTCTCTCTCCTCCAACCGTCTAGAAAATGGGCACCACTTTGAGCGTACGCGCCCGCATCCAGATCAATTTGGCTGTCAGCCAAGTGTTTGACATCAAGCAGGTGGCCAATTTTCCGGACATCATATTCCCCATATTGTGGTTTGAGGAGGGCATCGATTCGCTGCCGGATGAGGTGACGGATTTGATGCGTTTCGCAGAAACGATTCCGCCAAAAATTCGCGTAATTCTCATACTGGTGCTGTGCGTCCTGGGCGTGATACTGCTCCTGCTGTCCACATTCTGTTTGATACGCAATTCGCACAGGCAGAGCACGCTGCATTTGGAGGGTTCGAACTATTTGGCCACCGCACAGGTGGACATGAACAAGAAGCAGAACAAGGACAACAATCCCAACAATGGGCGATATTAACGTGTTGCCCTTGTTGTTGTTCTTCTTCGTTTGTTTGTTTGTTCGTTTGATTTGATTTTTATAAGGGGGGCCCCCTCACGGCGCGTTAAGTGTTAAAATGATGGATTTTTGTTTTTTAACCAGGGAACGCGCTCGCGTATGCGATTATAGTCTAGAACAAATGGAGCTGGGAAGACTTATGTGTATGTACTTATGCATATATTGTATGTATAATAGGTCCTCGTTGTAAGTACTTATGTAATCGTTATTAAAATTTCAAGTATATTAGCTGTTAGTCTGTCTACGGTCGTGATCGTCGCTATAAGTCTCAAATTTTTGTTATTATTAACCCAGCTTAGACCCCAGCGCGGGTGCAGCTGGCCAAATTCTATGTCACTAAAGGAAGAAGGAAGCGCAAAAAAAAACAAAAAAACAACAAAAACTAATTAAATCTGTGCATTATTAGGGCACATGACCAAATAAGTCACAAAAACCTAAACACAAATAAATAAAAAGAACAAAAAAAAAAAAAAAATGCGAAACAAAAAACGATTCTCTCAAGTTCCCGTTCCCCATATAAATGTGCTTGATTAGACCAAAATTCGTTCCGATGCGTCTCAATGCGAACTACAGCAGAATCAATAATATTATATATCTAATATAATATAATATCTATATGTGTATGTGTGTATGTATATCGTATCGTATCGTATCGTATCTATATATATATATATCTGTATCTGTATAATGTATATGACTCTAATGTGTACAATAAATTACGCTATTATTTTAATTAGGCACATAAAAACAAAACCCAAAACCAAAATTTTTCCACAAATAGCTACAAATTGCAATTACGATCCGGTTCGAGTCGTTCCGCCCACCTTTTAAGGCGCTGCCTAATGTTCCGGGGGAATTGGTTAGGCTTTGCCAAAAATCAATTAATTGCTTTCATTCGGCATATAAAATATGGCTACTATATAAACGCAATTCTATATTTTATTTTGGTAACAATAAGCTTATTGCTTACAATTAAGTTTATTATTTGGTTTTTGCTCTGTGCAGAAATCAAAAACTATCAAGAAACTAGCCCTAACAAGGAGTAGGTAGAGAGTATCAATTGAATATATCGAATATGTTATCTCAGATTTTAAGAGGTGTGAACGGCGCTTGAAACCATATAGAACCATATTTAATATCAAATATATTGATATATATACATAATACTATATCCATATCTGATATAAGACCCCTCTTGCGGGTGATTATCAAAGAACCCGAATAAGCCCGGAAAAAGATCCTCCAGGGGCTTAATCCTGAGCTGCTGCTACATCTTTAGGGAGTTAACTCTAGTCTATTGTTTTATTATTGTCTCAGCTTTTACGAGGGTTGTTCTCTGATAGAGTAGTATATAGTAGAACAGGCCTACAGGCTGAATAACATTCGAACCAAATGTGCCTCCTTATACCCTGAACCCATTGAAAATTGTTAAAAGGCATATAATGTAACAGGCAGCAGGAAGCATCTGCAATCCCATAAAGTATATACATTCTTGATCAGAATCAATAACCGAGTCGATCTAGCCATGCCCGTCTGTCTCTCTGTGTCTGTCCATATGAATTAACGCAAGGATATCAGAACCTATAAGATCACATACTTTCTCCTGCCTGTAAGGGAGTTAAATGTAGTCTAGTTTTGTTATAATTGTCTTAACTTTTAAGTGATATGAACAGCACGGACTTTATCTATCCATATAAGGATATATATGTATATATCCATATCTGAACATTGAAGTATCTCAATCAAAGAGACTATCAATAAACACGAATGTGCTTCCAGTTTTTGTCGATCTTTGGGTTATGGAAAACCCGCGCCTCAGGAGACTTTCTGCTGCCCAGTTACTCTCAATTCGAGACATGTTCTTCTCGGAATGCACGGAATATTTAATTGCTCAAGAGCCAGAAAGTCACTTATCAGAGTACTTTGCCAACTCATGCTGAGCATACATTAAACCGAATCAAACGCAATACGCTCTTAAATCAAAACTGATTTGGATTCGAATCTAAAAACAAATATCGACCTTGAATTAGGCTTAGTGCTTTTTAATTAATTGTCCGATTCTATGAAGTTGAGAAAACTATGAACTAAGCCAAAATTATATTGTTTTTAGCTGGCATAAAATGGATAAAAGTGATAACATTTCTACAACTTGTCTATAAAAACCTTTTTACAAAAAACCTGATAAGAATGAAGCAGTCCGAAAACTTTAAATAAATAGAATAAATACTGAAAAATATTCTATGCCACAATTAAGTACAGGTTATACGCTAGTTGCCCAACTTAAGCACATTCGCGTATATTTTTTTGTATAGCCCAATTTTATTAGTTTTAAATTTAAATTTAATGCCAGGTTAATATTTTGGCACCCAAAAAGGTGTCAAGTGTTCACCTCGCAAATGGCAACGATTTCACACGCCAGACCGGATCTCTGGCCGGTCCAGACGCACCTAGACGAAGACATGCTGTCATCATAATAACAGTTCACTGTGGCCGGGCCAGACGGAACACACTGGCGAGGGCAAGTGCAGTCCACCAGCCGAGAGCTGATAAGCGACGCTGTCTGTGGCTGATAACAACGCGTCCCACTAAGCAGCCGGCCAGCCCTCACACCCATTCACATGTCCAGAGCTGAAAATCTGCTGATCTGTCCATCTGCTGCCATCTGCTGAGCTGCTGATCTGGTCGAGCATTGACAGCGAAGTTCTGCTAAAAATATAAAATGCACTTTTTGGGTGACAGGTGCATTGACTGGCTGCTGCTGCTGCTGCGGCCACGCGGGAGACCCAGACCCATAAAAGTTAATCTTAAATAACATAAATTTAAATACGATTTGCGTAAATTCTATGCTCGGGTCAGGAGTTGAGGGTGTTATCTTCAAGCATTGCGACAGCCGCTAGCCGCTAGCCGCCAGCAGAGCGTGTTTGGCCTCAGCTTCAGCTGATAGCCTTTCTGTTATTTTGATACCCTGTACAAAGGCAAACGACACAAATGGCTTGTATAAACTGTGCCCTATGTATAACTAACAAAGCTCAGATCAAAATATGCCTCAGCCTCAAATTTGAACTCAGCCTTAGCTGATAACCTTTCTGTTATTTTGATACCCTGTACAAAGGCAAAGGCCTCAAATGGGTTGATTAACATGTGCCCTATGTGTATTAAGAGTTGGAAAGTTGAAATAACTAAGTTAATGAAGCTTAATTTATATTTATCGAAATAGATTCAATTTTGGGCTCAGCTTCAGCTTTTCAGCCTTTCTATTATTTTCATACCCTGTACAAAGGCAAAGACCTGCTAATGTCTGTAAGAATCGGAAAGTATAATTAGCAAACTTTTGAAGTTTAATTTAAGATCTTTGTAGCTCTCAGTGTGGGGGCCATGTCAAGTCCAGGGCCATGAATCGATTAAAAGAAATTACAGAATCTCTAAGAAAACGTTTCATTGACTTAGACTAAACCAGGCTAAGCAATGTGATATGCCTCAGCTCAGTCAAATATGGTTTAAAGTATTCTTTAGCAAAACTTCTTGAAATTAAGTATGCATTTAATTTGATATACTACCAAGAAATGCTGAAAATTTCTGGTAGATAACTCAAGAAACAACAGAGTTCCGTGGGAACATCCAACTAAGCTAGGGTATATGCTAGCTCAGTTGGGCTGAACATTTGCATCACTTTTACTTGCTTGTTATATTCATTCTTGATATTTTTTTGTAGCTTCGTTTCGTTTTCAAACAGGCCTAAGAGGAAGGGACCTCGCGATAAGTCATATTGTAAGGCAACAAAAAATGTTATTTAAAAATGATGGAAATACGAAAATGCGATTAGTTATTGAAATCAAACGAATCGCGTGATTTCGCCAACGCGGACGCACAACAGACTCCTGCTCCGGATCCGTGGCTGATCATGGCCAACAATAGCTTCTGGTTGAAGATCGCGGCACTTGCCATCTGCTGCGTATTGAATGTGTATTTGTTTCTGATCTCCTGGAGCATTAGCTATCGCGATGCGCTCACCGTCGAGCAGGTGCGTTTCCGCGAGGAGATGCCCACAATGGACAGCTGGGTGAACTCACCCTTTGGCAAGCTGAAGAGCTACGTATTCAATGTGACAAATGCGGAGGAGTTTATGAGCGGACGCGACGCGCGAGTCAAGCTGCAGCAGGTGGGACCCATTGTCTACAAGATTGTGGGCTACAACGATGTGCTCAATCGGACAGAGACGAGTGTGACCTATCGCAAGCATCGCTATCGCCATGTGGAGTTCGTGCCCGAGGAGAGCGTCTCGCCGGACATACTCAACCAGACCATTGTCCAGTTCAATAGCGTCCTGATTGGAGCCGCCGCCAAATACAGCGAGGTGCCCTTCGCCTGGATGGGCTTCAATCCGTTGACCATTGCCGAGCCGGTGTTTCTGCCGGGCAGCGTCTATTATTTTCTCTGGGAGTACACACGGCCCTCGCTGGAGGCCATCGGCAAGGTGATACAGCTGGACACCAACTGTGGCACGCTCTTCAATGTGAGTAGTGCGGGCGAGCGAAAGCTCCATAAAGATTCTCTCCATAAACTCTCCTTGGCCCTATTTCGCACAGGCACTCAAGGAGAAGGAGGAGGTGTACACGGTGAATATTGGACCCGAGCCGGGCATCGAGAACTTCTTTCGCATACAAAGCCTCAACGACGAGCAACTGATCCAGGAGCGCCTGAAACGCAGCCGCTCAGAGCCGGACGAGAGCTGTCCCATCGATGTTGTCGGCACCTTGGACAATTCCCTATATCCGCCCTTTGTGCACCGGGACACACCACTGAGCATCGTGGCCAGCGAGTCCTGTCGCGTCCTTCCGCTGCGCTATCAACGGGATCAGGTGCACGACGGCCTGCAAGCCTATCGCTATGCCCTGCTCCAGGCCAACGAGTCGGCGCCCGCCTGCATGGACAGCACATATGGTGTCCAGCTGCCGCGCGGCATGTTCGACGTCTCCAAGTGCGTGATAAGTAAGTGCCATCCGTTCGTCCACTTTGATGCTGACGGGTATTCACATTGAGTTTGGCGCTTACAGATGATGCGCCGTCGGCCTTCTCGATGCCGCATTTCTATGGCAGCAGCTACGATTGGCGCCAGCATTTCGAGGGCCTCAATCCCAATGCCGAGGAGCATGAGCCCTATCTGCTGCTGGAGCCCATCATGGGCGTGCCCATCAATGAGAAATATCGCTTTCAGTCCAATACGCCGCTGCCGGACTTCAAGAACTTCAGCCCGAAGCTGCAAAAGCTGCGCAACATGATTTTGCCCGTCTTCTGGTACGAATTCGTAAGTAGCTGCATATCTGGTAATCCAATCCAATCCCGCGACAGCTCTGATAAATTGTCTTTTAGGACATGGATCATCTGCCCGGCTTTGTGCTCCTGATGATACGCTTCAATGTCGTCTGGCTGCCCAGGCTGCAGCCCGTGCTGATGGCTCTGCAGCTGTTCCTCGCCCTCTGGTCCCTGCTCAGCCTGGTGCGACGCGTCAGCCGGAGTCGCAGCTACGGCGAGCTCTATCGCAAGATGGGCGGCGGGCCCGTTGTGCAGCTGGAGACCGTATTGAATCCGCAACCACAACATGATCCCAAGTCTGTCAAATAGTCACAGACACGTGCGTGTATCTTATAGATACGTTTTAGGTTTAGCTACGTAGCTTTAGACACGGATCACCTCATCGGCTGTGCTTATCAGCAATAGCAATAGGAACAATAATACTAATAATAATGATAATGATAATGATACTGTATGTAATTGCGCTTGGTTGCACATCGAATTTGCCTCTCATTTCACCTTATCTGTCACAATGTCAGCCAGGGGGGGGGGGGGGGGGGATGACTGGAAGAGAAGCCTATATACGAAACCCTCAACACAATCTCAGGGCCTTTGGGCCGGCGACTTGACATGACGTGAGGTCGCGGCATTTTGTTTGATTCCCAGTTCACACAATTACAGGCAGATACACATACACTTACACACACACACACACACTCACACACACACACACATATATGTATAAGCATATTGGCAATGAAAACCTGCGCACGTACCACACACTTAAGATATCTGTCCCAAGATTTATTTTTACCTTTATCTGTTTCTGTTTGTTTATTTTTCTGTTGTGCTTCATCAGGTTTTTGTTTTCTTTCGTGTTTTATCTGTTTTTATTTTTTTTCTCTTTTCGTTTTCGTTTTCGGTTTTGTTTATTTTCTGTTTCCTGAACCTGAACTTTTGCACGGGTTGCCCCTGCCACTGTCTGATTTCAAGGCGAGCAACCCTTTTGCATGCCCCACCCAAGACGACCTCTCTCTCCCTCTCCCGCTCCCCCTCTCTCTCTCTCTCTCTCTCTCTCTCTTACTTTCGTAGATCGTCTGTTGACGTTGTCTCTCTGGCACTTTCCATTTGCATAAGCCAAATGCCGCTCAGACTGTAATATTGTAACACCCGTGTGGCAATTGGGCAACACTTAAGCCATATATACTATAAGTGTTGGAAAACGTGAGCAGAATATTTGCAGAAATATTACTGAACTTTACTCTAAAAAGCAAAAGTCAAAACTTTCCGATATAATTTTACAAAATTTTGTTTTTTTTTTCTTGGGAAAATTGAAAAAAAAAAATATTGAAATAGTCCATATAAAAATAAATTAAGAATAAGCCTAGTTCAAGAAGATAAGCCGCTCTTGATCAAACATTGATTGAATTTTAGATAAAAAATCATTAGATTTTCCATTCAAAAATTTGAAGAAAAAACAAAAATCTTTTAAATAAATTTGTTTACTAATGCAAATGCAAAGAAGTTTGACATGATAATTAAAACAATTTTTTTCTCCAAATTTAATAACGGAGATTTTTTAACCGAACTTTTATGATAATGACAAATTTTGATTTGATTTTGTTATCAAATTGCACTTGCAAGATCATTTGAGTACGAAAATAATTGAAACGACAAATTAAGGATAACTTCGGCATGCCGAACATTTAATACCCTGTAGCAGTAATGTGTGAGAATAGTGAAGCTCATCAATGCTGAGTTGAAGAGAGATATATATTGGGAAATTTTGAGACCGATCGTTCCTATGGCAGCTATATGTTATAGTGTTGCGTTATTGATAAGATTTTGCATATATGCGAGGCGCATAGTGTAAAAAGTAAATGCCGAGTTTAGTTCAGATAGTTTGATAAATAACAAAGGTTGCCGTATAACCCGCTTTTCGACCGATCGTTCCTATGACTTCTATATGATATTGCGTTATGAGAAATGATATCAACTCGTCAGCTGATGCTGATCTAGACTATATATATATATCCTTTAAGCGTAGAAAGATGTCTGCTCCTATGCGTTACATGTTTTATGACAAAATATATATGCCCACCACAAGGGCATAAAAAGGCAAAGGAAAATTTTTAAATTGTGCATCAATTGATAAACATAAACATTAAAAATTAAAACTGGATTTCGCAAAAAAAAGTTAAGTCAAGTTAAATATTCAAATTGTTTGGCAAAAAACAAAAAAAAAAAAAAAACTTGTTAGCAAAACAAACACTCGAATTGGGCAATTGGCCAGAAATTGCCGGTTTCCGCAGACACGCAAATTATCTTCCTGTGGCTGCCGGCAAAAATGTGTCCCAATTTCGAAATGTTGCAACAAGCATCCAAACAAGATAAGACAAAGGGTTGTTAATTTTGTTGATGATATGATAAATCAGCTGTGAGCTGTGCATAATTAAACACTAATTAACATAAAAGTTATATCACAGCAAGTGTCCAGTGATTCATTAGCTTTCATTAGAGCCCAAGGGCCAAGAGTCAAACAGAGATTTAAGCCGAACTGACCCATTGAACTGCAATTGAGTTGAGAGTTCTAGAAGCTCACGTCAATGCCATTAAAGTGCGAACACAAATGCAAATAAATAACAAAAATTAAAATATCTTTATGTACGTATATTTTATGGCTTATAATTGTGGAGCCCAAGTGAAGTCTAAATAAACAGCGGCAATTATCAGGCTCTGATTGTGTGGAAAAATCTACAATATAAATAAAACTGACCACGCGTCAGTGGGAGGGAGGGGGGAGAGAGTGGCAGCAGGGGGGGGATGGTAAATCCCAGTTCAAGTTGGCGCAAAAATGGAGACCAGTTGAATTGAGCTTTCGAAATCTGGTTGGGCCTAGAGAGAGACAAAGACAGAGAGACAGAGAGAGAGAGAGAGACAGACGCGCGATGCCCGATAATTGAAATTAAAAGAGGGAAATGCATAAAAGTGATTACAACATAACCAAAAAAAAAAAAAAAAAAACGATGCTCGTAAAAAAAAAGAGCAACAACAACGAGTTGCAGAGATTTGAATTTTTCACGTTGAATGTTTTTCCTATGAATTTTTGGCACAACTAACAACCAAAGCAAACAGCTGTCAAGTCGGGCATTAGCAACTACAGCGAGGTGGCGCGGGGGGGGTCGCTCAAAGGTGAGGCCGCATTTACATTTAAACAGTCTAGAAGAAGTAGAAAAAAAAAGAAGAGAAGAAAACAAATAAAAAGCTTGCGTACTTCCCAAGTACACGACAAATTGCGCTAGCTTCAAAATTCGGGTGAAAACTTAAAAATCCGGTTCAATTTGGCAGCGCGTTTTTGTTTTTTTTTTTTTTTTTTGTTTTTCAAGCCAAGCTGCTGCAGTGTGCGAGAGAGACCTTTGACTCGGTCGGCCCAGGCGGCGCCCGCGCTGTCGAGCGTATGCGAGAGCTTTGGCCGCGACGCGACGCGTGCAAAGCTCCTTAGTATAAAAGTGGACTAAACAGGCTAACAGCTTGGCAATCAAAGCTGTGCTGTCGTACGCAACACACACACTTCGCGAATTCCCCCATCCGACCGCATCAAAAGCAACAGGTGAGCCTTACAAGCAACAACAACTACTTCGCGCGCTCTCTCTCTCTCTCTCTCGCTCGCTGTCTTGTTGAGCGTGTGAGAGCGCGCGCGCAACGCAGGCTGCGCATGCGCTCGGCTTGCAACTGTTAAATTGGTATCGATACTTGTGTATTGCGTAAACCGATTGGCAACACTTGTCTGCACCAAACAACGGTACAAAAGCCGTTATATAAAAAAAATAAAGAGAGACGATAAAAACTAGGAGGGAAAGAAAAAAACCCAAAAAACGATTTGAAGCCGTTTTGTATATGCGCTTAGACGCAAAGCTTAGCCCGGAGTAAGCACAGCGCCGACGTGGTCAGAAATTGTGAAATCTTTTGTTATTAAAACCTTAAACGATTAATTAGTATGCATATGCCATATATATGCCAAGAGGCATTAATAATGCATGAATTAAGGCTTAGCCCAGAAATGAGCTGGCCAAAACAGACGAGAATCTCCAAGAGAAAGACATTAAAATAAAAAAAAAAAAAACTAACTAAATATATAAATAAAACGCGTTGTCAAGCCAAACGGCAGACCTGACGACGCCCGAGATCAGACAGACAGATTATTTAGAGCTCCATCAATTTGTTTGGAGTCTCGAGTTAGCCATAAAACGTATTTGAGCAAGATTTAGTATTTGTTGTGCAATTACTCACGTTTTTTCGGGGAACTTTTTTCATATATATTATTTTTTCTCATGTTTGTTTTTGTGTGTTCTGTTTGTTTACAGCTCTCGAGACAAGATGAAGGCATCTCTGGCCATTCTGTTGGTGTGCGTGTTTGCCGGCCTGACGGCCGCCAGACCCGACCAGAAGTACACGAACAAGTTCGACAATGTGAACGTGGACGAGGTGCTGGGCAACAATCGCATATTGAACAACTATATCAAGTGCCTGATGGATAAGGGGCCGTGCACGCCGGAGGGACGCGAACTGAAGAAACTGCTGCCCGATGCCCTCGAATCGGAGTGCTCCAAGTGCACCGAGGTGCAGCGTCGCAATTCCAACAAGGTGATCAATTTCCTGCGCGTCAACAAGCCAGGCGAGTGGAAGCTGCTCCTGGACAAGTACGACTCGAAGGGCATCTACAGGTCCAAGTACGAGAAGCACGTTAGCCATTAAAATTAACAAAAATACAAAAAACACGTTGTATCGTACTCGTTATTTAAACTACATAAAACAAAAAATAAGTAAATTATTTTGTCGTTTTCATACCTAAAACACTTGCAATGCAAATTTTATTCCAAAATGTATCCAAAAATGTCTAGGCAAACTGCTGCGTTTATCATATGAAATTGGGTCTAAATAGTTGAGGGGGGGGGCCATTTGTTTTTCTGGTTATATATGTGAAGCGCAAGTTTGGACTTGTTGTTATTTCGATTCGTTGATCAGATCAATGGCCCTGAAGTGATTGGCCACATTGATTGTCCAGTCGGATTGTTGTCCGGCTGTGAACTCCTTTTTGAAACGATAATTACATATGAAGACACGATCCTGATACTCGGGCAGAGTGCTTAAATCGAAAGAAAATTTTCATTTTGAATGTGCAAAAAGCTAGATGAGAGACAACTTATCGGTGGTGCCTCACCCCATATTCCAGGGTATCTCCTCGCCGCGTTCGCGCATCTCGGTCAGGCCGCGCATCACATGGAAGACCATCGTGATCTCGACCCAGCGCTTTTGCAGCTTGTCGTTGGCATCGTCGAACATGATGCCGATCTGATAGGGAAACGACAAATAGATGTCGCTCTCATTGATCTCCAGCTGTTTGCGCTGCGTCATCGATAGCTTCTGGACAACGGGCTTCAGTTCGGCAATCGCATCCGGCGTCACCAGATCCTG